GCCAGCCTTGACTGCTTCCCTTTCTGCACTCCCAGTGTTCCAAGCCAGCCTTGACTGCTTCCTTCTGCACTCCCAGTTATCCAAGCCAGTATTGACTGTTTTCCTTTTGCACTCCCAGTGCTCAGTCTCCTTGACTCTCTCACTGGAGAGAACAGCCTCTCTCCTACCTGCTTCCAGGGAGGAAGCCAGCAATCCCCCTTTACCTGCCTAGCAGGGAGGGGTTTATTCCCACTGCTACAGCTGATTATCTGCAGCTGAGCAGTGGGTTGGAGACAGTTCCAAAAAATTCTGGCCTGGACCTTATTTCTCCCAGTTGTGTATAAACTGAGGAGTGGAGCATTGGCCCACCCTGCTCTCCAAATGCTCCACCCCAGTGGCCCATAACTAAATGTAGCTTTGTGTTGCACACCACACATACAACACGTACTTCCCTGGGGTTAAATGTTAAAGGCCTCTCTGCCTTCACTTTATTACAATATATATATATATATATATATATACACACACATTTTTGTAAATATTTTATTATATCTTTTCATGTGACAACACTGAAGAAGTTACACGGTTTGCGGGCTTTCTTGTGCATCCTCTTTAGTAAAGGCTTCCTTCTGGGAGGACAGCCATGCAGACCAATTTGATGCAGTGTGCGGCGTATGGTCTGAGCACTGACAGGCTGACGCCCCACCCCTTCAACCACTCATATGTCTATTTCCCAAAGACAACCTCTGGCTATGACGCTGAGCATGTGCACTTAACTTCTTTGGTCGACCATGGCGAGTCCTGTTTTCAATGGAACCTGTCCTGTGAAACCGCTGTATGGTCTTGCCCACCATGCTGCAGCTCAGTTTCAGGATCTTGGCAATCTTCTTATAGCCTAGGCCATAGACACTCCGGGCACTGATACTATTTTAATGTATTTGATTTGGATCATCAATATTTTGGCTTCAATATTTTTGGCCTTAATATACTCTCAAAAAAAAATTCTGCACAAACTATTAAGATTTGAAAATAAAAAAACAAAACAAAAACATAACAGCTAATTAATTAGGCCAAAATCTACCAAATGCATTAAAGTTGTATTGGTGCCTGGAATGTCCCTTTAAAGCAGTTTAGCAAGAGGGTACCTCCTAATCTATTAATGCAATCTGAGTTGCATGCAGTGAAAAATGGCATGGTTAGATTTCTGCTCCATTTCATTTCCTTTGTGAGTAGGTTCTTATCCTATAGGTTTTATTATCTTTATAATGTATTGTGCATGCAGCTAGGGATAGCTGTCTGAGTGTACACATTTGTAGCGTCTAGTGACAAATATTGTATACAGTCTATAATAGTGTTCCATTCATTCCTCAGGAGGAGAAGAAAAAAGTTCCTCCTCCTATACCAAAGAAGCCTCTCCGTCAGAAAGTGCATCCCATTAAGGATCGGTCCTTGGATTCTGTTGATCGTCAGAGGCAAGAGGCTCGGAAGAGGCTATTAGCAGCCAAACGGGCTGCTTCTTACAGGCACAACTCTGCCACAGAGAGTGCAGACAGCATTGAGATTTACATCCCTGAAGCTCAAACCAGACTGTGAAGATGACAATGTACACTTGTTTTTTTGTACACTCTGTATATATCAATATACATATATACATAGATAAGATTTAGAGAATATTCTAAGAAAAAAGAAAAAAAAACACTGAAAAAATATGACCACAGCTGTGTTATTCTGGGGAGGTCCCGTTACCAAACCAAACAGTACCCTTTATAATACCCTTACAAATGGTAGAGCTACATGACCCATAGGTGCCAAGGGCACTGCTGAGGCAAAATCTACATGTAATGTTTGGATACTTCTTCTCCCCTTCTCTTATAGAAACATAACAACTTGAAATGGCCAATATGTATTTGAAATATGGACTATGACCATTAAATAAACACTGTGTCAGATTCCTTTTTCTATCTCCTTTAAGGGCACAACATTTCATTAGAATTGATACTAATGGGGTGCTTGATGCCTGTTATCCTAAGTATTGCATCACTTTTTAAAAATAATTTACTTTATCCTAGGAAAGGGATTTTTATGATGTATGGAAATAATCATTATTAGCATACAATGTAGCGTGTTTCTGTTTATTAGGGCTTCAAATATTATTGTGTAGCGGTTCTAAATCATACTATGTAGAGATCCCTCAGTGCCCCATTCAGATTTAATGTGTCACTTAGCCGAGATAAACTTAATTTTAGCATGATATAAAGATGCTAGAGTCGGGAAAGGATATATGATAAAATTTGGTGTGAAAGTATACCGAGGTTATCTTCCAAAAATGTTTCCGATCTCCAAGACTCATAGGAAATTATATCTTGCATTCACCTTCTGAAAACAGGACTTTGATAGTTCAGCCGCTTGGATATAGTTATAAACAGACCTCAATGCAAGCCACTGAATATCAAGTAGCTTCCATAAATTTGGTAATGACAGGTGTAATATTCTATTGAAGGTGCAGGGCCATGAATAAATGTGGTCATATCTGTTTACAAAACATTCTACCTTTTTTAGTTTTACTGGAAAAAAATTATTTAATACTAATTACTGCAAGTTTTTGAATTTTTACTGCACGACTACCAATGCCAGTCTTGATATATGCCTTACCTATAAATGTTATGTGGGGTGAACTGACAAATACATGCATGTTAATTAAAAATGCATAACTTTGTTAGGACAGGTACATATTTAGGATACAAATTGGCAGGCCTGCAGCTTAATGTATGATCTAGAACAGGCATAAGCAACCTTTGGCACTGCAGATATTTTGGAATACACCTCCCATGATGCTTTGCCAGCATTATTGGTGTAAGAGCATTATGGGGGATGTAGTCCACAACATCTGGAGTGCCAAAGGTTGCCTATCCCTGATCTAGAATCATCAAAAGGCAAAATCAATCTCATATTGTGTTTTTCCATTGAGCTGCTATGAGTTCACATAATATGCATTAGATTCTAAAGAATACCTTTCATAACGGAATTACTAAATTATGGTTTCAATTGTTTAGCATAAAATATTGACTGCACCACATTTAAGTTGTGCCAAAAAGAGATTTCGCAGATAAGTTTAGCCAGCCATCTTATTGTTCTATTTAATAGAGGCCCAGGACAAATATGGTCTATTTTTAACAATTTTCTGAAATGCAAACCTTATTCAGCTCTATGTGGAAATGACACACATCAACACTTTAGTAAAAATAATAGATTTATAAAATTCAGAAAAAAAACATTAAATCATGCTGGGAATTTTCAAGGCTGTCACAAATCACTCGTAGGCAATAGTAGTACAGGTAGGTTGGGGAGTTCAGTAGCTGTTAGGATCATTTGCTTCCAAATGACTGTTCCACATCGCCTCTTGTTATAGAGTTATATCACTTACTGCACTTAGCTTTATACTAGTGCACAGTCCAACACTCACTACATCCACCCACAAAGTCAACAATATCCACTTTATTCAGACAAACACGGCTGCAGGTAGATTATAATCTGACAGGGTCTAACCACTGACAGGCCACGTTCCTGCCAGGAAGCCTTCTCTCTGGGCCCTAGGCCTTTCACTGGGACACCATTATACCTCAAAGTGTACGAGCCACACTATAAAACCCAGTGGGCCTCCTCCATCTTGCCAATAGTCTTTGCACCCATTTCTACAAGAGGCCTCCTCAATGGATTCTAGAAAAAAAACAAGTCAAGATACTCTGAGGTAGTGCAAAAACACAAATCTTTATTACAAATATTAGGAAAGGCAACATTTTAGCTTCAGGAAACAAAAATGTTACTACTTTTTGCACTACCATTAAGGGCCTAAACCCATTTGGTAACATTTCCAAACTGGTAGAAATGTTACGAACTGACTGCATGTCACCAGTGATGTGTGCCATTTTGAATACACTGTAATAAATCTCATTGGTTTCTGGTATTCTGAGAACAACAGGTCCTCAGTTTCACAATGAGACCTAGTTTTTCCAAGTAATTTAAAAGACAAGGGCTCTGTCCTCAGCATGAAATTCAATACCCCATACCAGCCAAAGGGCTTCTCACTGGGTCAAGGCTTGCCAAAATGCTCACTAAGCCAACCAAGAGACCTCTTAAATATGAGGGCTCTAGCCTCATCAGGAAGGCTACTGCGCCAAATCATCTTACTCTACTGGTTCCTTGGCCTGTTAGGATTGTCACTAACTGCACCTCTACAGAATTGTATTTTATTAGGCACTGGCCTGTCATTGGTCCTTTGCGCCCTGCTGAAAGTCTCTGTCCTTAAGCCATTTGAGGATGATAGGATCTTATGGGGCCTTGCTGGGAAAAAAACTATTTGATTGTGTAAATGTGTGTGCCTCTGCTTATATGTGGATGAGTATGCATCTGTACATATGCATGTACCAAGCAGAGAATCTCTATGCATATTGCATAAGAGTGACTGCATACATGCATGCATATCAGTGGCGGATCCAGGGGGGGTCAACTGCCCCTCCCCCTGAGAAAACCGAGCAGACCGAGGGTTTCCCTCTACCCTGCCAGCACATTCATGGACCGGAGGGGAGATCCTCAAGCACCGCGCTTGCAGTCGGCAGAGGAGGGAGGGAGAGAGGACCAGAGAGCTCAGCCTGCAGCTTCTCCGGGTCCTTCACTCTCTGGATCTCGCAAGAGTGAAATCTAGCCCTGGAACTGCGGGCTAGAGTTCACTCTTACTACTGAGACCACCAGGGATTCCCCACTGGAGCACCAGGGATCGAGAAATGTCCACCCTCCTCCCTCAGTAAAGGTAAGAGGGGAGGGGGAACATAATGTATATTTGTTTTAATTAAGTTAACAAAACAACACATATAAGAAGGGTAGGGGGGATTTTTATAATATTTGTTGTTTTTTTTAAATGTAATTAATATGTATGTATGGGGGCAGTGTGTGTGTGTGTGTGTGGGGGGGGGTAATGTGTGTTTGTGTGTGATAAGAAGGGTAGGGGGGCTTTTTTTTATAATCACACACATTCCCCCCCACACTGCCCCCATACACACACACTGCCCCACATACACTGCCCCTGATACATACACACACTGCCCGCCATACACACATACACTGCCACCCTCACTCACACTGTTCACACACTGTTCCCCTCACACACACACACACACTGCACCCCTTACACATTGCATCACTCACACACACCACTGCTACTATAGCCCCATTTCCCAGCAGACCTCAGGTAAGTTGTCAAACTGTTCTTAAAAGGATTGACTACTTACTCTGGGAGGGGGTCCCGGCACTATTGACACCATAACCACCACACTGAGCTGTAGTGGTTATTGTATCTGGATTATTTCTTTAACCCCTTAAGGACACATGACACGTGTGACATGTCATGATTCCATTTTATTCCAGAAGTTTGGTCCTTAAGGGGTTAAATAATCTACAAGTTCCCTTCCCGAGATCAGGCTCTGGATCCGCCACTGATGCATATATTAACAATTCATTTTTATGAAAGGGCAAATGTGCTAGTATCAGTGTAGTTCAGTATCTGAATTCATTTTCTTTAATATCATGTTCATTTACAACACTGAATTAAATGAGACATTACAAGACACATATACACTGGATATATATGTGTGTATATTTTTTTTTTCATCATGTCTGTGTTTGTTCAATATCAGTACAATTGACAAAAAATACTGACATTTTAGGTAATAACTTCAGAGTGGCCATAGAACTTTTGGTTTTCAATATTATATGTATCCCTATACATTTTTTTTTACATTTAGTATTGTGTGACACTGGTAATACAAATTGTATATTTCACGATTGTGATATGCCAGAGACTGTCACAAACACACCATAATTATGATCATATAATCTGTTGTCTGTCTCATTACTGCAATTTATGGTGGTGCACTGCAGACACCTTATTGTCAATGTGTCTGTTTAAATTTAAATCAAAGCACCAGCTTATGAAGAAATATGAAATAATAGAATATGGATACGTTCTATTTGGCCTTACCCATAAGTTTTTCACAGCTTGTGATAATCACAATATAGACAGAGTTAATTACTGCACTATGTTGCCTATATTTATCCTAAAATGTAAAATCCACTTTGAATTTTGAAGAATTCATGCTTCAGCTGATAAACCTGTTTTGCAGTGATGGTAAAAAACAAAAACAGCATCCATTCTTACCATGCTTTACTTTGTACCTATCAATGATATGTTATTTAGGGGTTACCAAGTTTTATTCAGTGGGAATATCTGTAGAACCGGAGCCCAAGATAGTTAATTAAGGACTGGTTTGAGAAGCTTTGCCTTAAATTGCATTATGGAGGCTCCAAACATATGTTAACTTTCAGAAACCTAATTTAGGCTTATACCATCCTGCAGTCATTCAAACAGAAACTTACTTTATTTATTGTATTCAAATTCTCATTTAAAGTGGGATCATTTAACTGAATTGCTAATTTAAAAAAAAATTGCAATGTATAGAACAACATACTCTTTTGACAGGACCTCAGAGTGATCCTGGGTATCATAACAACTAGATATGAATGAAGTGGTTATTATACGCTGAGTTTTCCGGGCACCAGTTTACCTCAAGGGGTTAAACCATTAACGAACCACAGTCCGAGGCTTATATTATTAGTATTACTTTAATGTACTGCACAGAGAAACAGACTATGGCCAATGACAACATATTTTCATTTATTACCAGATCCATGTTATTCATTTTACATATGCCCCTGCTTCTCCTCATCATTCCACTATCAGCTCCTCTAGAATACCATCAATAGTGGAGAATATTAGATATTAAAGGTGAAGTATTACACATTTCTGAACAACTCTTTTTACATGTAACTCAAAGATTTTCTGTTACCTCATTGTTATTTAAGCTGAAATAGACCTTTTTGTGGTAAATCAAGCATTATATCCAACTAAACAAGCGGTGTATTTTATAGGTTACACATATTTTTAAAATATTTTGCATTAATGTGAATGCAGATTCAAAGGTAGATACTACCTTAAAATTATAGTATTTCCTCAGCCACGTACAAGTATGTGACCTGGGAATGTTGGCCTGACATTGTTAATATACAAAAGGAAAATATTCACACAGACACTGAATCGTAAATTTTTATTTCATAAAACAAAGTAATACTTATCATTTGTAGTCAGCACCTTATAAGAGAATGCTTCGATCTCCCCTGATCTAATATACGCTTGTTTCTTTGTTTTTGTAACTGAACATCTGCTGACTAAATAAAGCCCTAGTTCTGTGGTCTGTCATTGGTTTGCAAAATGTTACCTATAAGAACTGCAGGTTTACAAAATTAATTTGTAAGTGATACATTCCTTTAAGTATCTAGAAACCTCTACTTCATTTTAAACATTCCCAGCATTTCTCATTTGACCAAACCTTTATCATTCACCAGCTTGTAAAAATTCAACATTGGTAGTCAGGCTTGGATGGCAGAAAACGGTTGATGTGTTCATCCAAAAAGTTAAATTATACCTGGCAACAGGGCTGATAGTGGGAAAAGGATTAGTTATACTGCACCTTCCTTCAGGTGACACAGGTGCTCTGTTCGGTGAGGGGAAATCGAGTTTAACATGGCACAACCATGTGACTTGTTACATCTGCAACAGGGTTATGAATGAAAAGGATAACACATAACTGAATATCAATTTTGGCTAAAGTGTACCTGCACAACATGCATCCATGTGCTGTTTATCTGCCGAGTGTGGTGTGTGGGTGTGTACATATAAAAGGGCACTCACAGGACAATTCATCAGGAGTCTTTATTCCATAAAAGACCAAGATAATGACTGGGTCAATATTTCAGCCCAACAACATGATCTTTGGTCTTGTAGCTTTATCCGCAAGTCCTGTGAGTGCCCTCTTTTCATATGTGTATGCTTTTTAGTCTGCGTTGGCACCCGTACCACTTGATATCTTGTTTTGCAGAACACTCAATTTAGAGGTCTTAAAATCACTAATAAAGCCCTTCATTGTTTGCACTTTGCATATGGCTGCATGTGCGCTAATCACTATACCGTAAAAGCGCTGATAGTTAATTACCTGCAATCATTATTCTATTTAGTATTGCTATGATTAGGACTACTGTAATAAATATTGCTATTAATGTCTCTCTGCTAATATTTTTTGCTTAATTTTAAATCTTTTTATTTCTGATGTCAGATATTGTAGAATGTTGAATGAGATTTTTTGTTTCCTTCTCTGCACCAAATTCATTCTTTAAGTATTATTGTCATGTTAATGTTTAACTCTTCCACGTTCCAAGAGGTCTGTGAACATTGTCCGCCAAGGCCTTTATGCTTGTATTAAAGGAATCCCATACTCATTATATATTGCTATATATAATGTGAATGAACAAAGAAACATATTACAGAAAGATCCGCCATTTGATGTAATGGACAATAAGGCATTAAAGCGGTGTATACACTGGCTAGCAGATTCAGCCTGCCTAGCACTTTATATATAGGGCTGTAAGATTAACCCATTGGTGGTGAAAGAGAACTGCATTGCATACAGTGGCTGCTGTGTTTTTGTGCCAAAGCAGTTAACCCTATTTTGTTGATTTTGATCTACTGCACAATAGCAAAAGGGTCATTACTTTACTAAGGGATTCATGTACACAGGAAGAACAAAGCCATCACTTGATAAAATGTAATGGCCCAAAATGAAGCAGTCAAGTTCAGGCCAGTTTTAATTCCTCTGTACTTCTAATGTGTTATGCAGTGCTGAAAGAGTTAAACCCTCCGTATAGATTTTTTTTCTAAAGGGTCAGACTTACTGGACTTATGTTTACAGTTTTGATCCAGGGATTTCTCCTTCCCCCTTGCACACAGCAAACGTGATATTTAGAATTAACTTCTCTGACAATTTAGGTTGTTAAACGGATTAAACCACTGTGTCTGAGATTACAAGAAACCTAGTGCCACTGAACTGTTCATCTGCACTCAGCCCTATCCTGCTGGTGAGATGTGTGCAAGGTTAATACAATAGCCTCTATATTTTCAATTTAAATGTAGCAGTTTATACTAATGTTAAATACACAATCTTCAATATTATATTTGAACACATTTACCCATATTATATTCCTGTGTCTGCAGAGCTTTAGTCAGTCAGAGGAGTCGTAAATAAAGGTGAGCAGAGTCAAAGTATATTTTTAATGTGCTTTGAAAATTGATCGATGTCTCCAAGATTTGCAAGGTGACCTCAGTGGCTTTAAAGAGGACGATTGGAGTCAAAATGGTTTCTGATGGCATGGTTAAGCCATTTAACCTCTCAGGTAAAATTGGGAGGTAGTTTAACCGAACAAATTCCCTATTACAGTGCTTACGGCAGCAATACATGTGATAATTGTTCATAGTATTATTTCTTGTATTTATTAAATTTAACCAACTGCAAGAATTGTTATTTAGAAATGGTCACTTGTATTTATCTTTGACTCCTGCGGGAAGAATTAACTAAGGAGATGCGCTCTCTGGGAATATTAGTTGTATTGTTAATTTATTATGTATGTATTCTTATCACTATACACTGCAGTATGCTTATTTCCAACACTGAATGCTGCTATCATGTGTGTTGTAACTCCACATCATAGGAAACCATCAATAGTATATGTAATCATCTTTTGTTTTATATCTCTTCCCAAATTGTAACTGGACTATGCTAAACGTGATAGCACCGTATAACAGCAACACATCCGATTAGGTTTTCCAATTATATAAAATGTAATCTCACATCTAACACAGTATTTTTTTGTACATTGATGGCATCAATAAAATTTAGAGGCTGCTTTAGAAAATGTTTTGGAAACTTTTGATCTCTGGGGCAAAAGCCTTTAATGCTAACTATACAAGCTAACATTTTATGTACTTTGACCTGCGCTGTTTTAAAGGCATACCTTTGACTTTTTATGTGCCAGATCACTGTGCGTTGCATATAATCATAGATTCGTGGCAATAAAGAGTTACATTGTATGTATTTTCTTTATAGTCCTGCAGCATTTCATTTAATAAGTTAGTGAAATGTTATTTTCATTATCAAATACTTGTGGTCGATTCTAAGTTTGCACTATGGTACAAATTGGTAGTAGTATTTCACTCGAAAAGTGATTTTTCAGTCAAACTGAAGATTTTTGTAACCCTAGTCTTGAGGTCAAAACCAAGAAAATATAAACTGGCAAACTCCAGATACTGCAGCATAACAGTTATGGCCTTGAAACATCAAATGGCTAGAAAATCAAATTGTTTTGATAAGAAATAGTAATAAAAGTGAACATATAGAGAGAAGCACAAGGAGCATCAATGTTTATAGGGTTTCCATTAACTGTTGACTAAAAAGAAAGTTTTACACAAAATCTATGGGAGAACCTTGGATTCTCTGATACTTATGTTTTCTATCATTTAAGTCCGTATAAGTTTGCAGCAAAAATATTGCAAATTGTCTACATATAACTAGGTACTATGCATATCTTACCAATTTAAAATTAATTAAAATATTTTACTTCTATGTCTGAAGGCAATATGGAAAAACAAGTTACTTAAGAATTTATGGAACAGTGTTAATTTCTTTATCAGCCCTTTACCTTGTTCCACCATCTTAAGTGTAAGCCTAAAGTGATTGTAACATAATGGACAAATGGTGGGTCATAACATTTAAGGATCTGAATTCTAAAAAAAAAAAAACAGAAATAAGCTTAGAAAATAGAAGTAAAATAATATTTAGCAATTTTGTAAAGCCTAGTAGTACCATTATTGAAGAGACAATTTTGTTTTTCAAGAAATCAATACTCATCTTCCTTTTTTAGCTCAAGGTAAGTTTTGTGTATAAAAAAGTTTTGTTCTCTGTGAAAAATAAATAAATGAATTAAAAAGGAATTTGTCTTAACGGACTTAGAACATATCGGAGGAGGTAACCTACTTTGGGACACGTCTGAAGTTCAGGGATGATGCCAGCAGCTGCAATGCTATCATGAAAGATGCCTTATAAAGCAGTGGTCCATTTAGCTCTAATTAAGTAAACATATATATATATATATACTCTTGGGGGTACTCTTGACTCCCCAAAATTGAATACATTTTGGGAATGATATAAACCAATTCATTTTCTCTTGAATGGTAATGAAAATATTTATAGGAATGTGGAACATTGTAGGGTGAAAGCACCAATGATATTCTGTCTTCATTCTCCAACTTTTAGCCTCTTTGTAACATGTACAAAAATTATACTTTTTCCTACTCAATGATTCAGTTGTTTGTGTCTGTGTATTAATTATTATAATTAGAAAAACTATTATTCTTACAACCAAATTACCTAATAAAAACAAGTTAATTATTTCACTGTTTTAACTTTTAAGAATTAAAATTACAGAATTGTGTTCTCACTTAAAATGGATAAAATAAGACCCTGAACAACTTTAGCTTAATATATCAGTTACCTCCTAAACACATCCTTAAGCTAAAGTTGATTTGGTGCTTGGAGTGTCGATTTGGTGCTTGGAGTGTCCCTTTAACCCCTTCATGTTGGCACTCGTGCATACACGATTGCCAAGGAATGCATTTATACCCAGTATTCATGTATACACGATTTACATAATAATGAATTAAATTATTTTATTGCAACAAATTTTGTTTGCAAATTACTACAGATCCTGAAGCTCACAGTGCAGCAGCACCAGGAACCGCCAATTGTGAGCTGAATACAGAAAGACTAACTCACTGTATTCAGCTATCTCCTCTGTGTAGCTCTAGCATGCTGAGGGAAGGAGGGAGTGGGGGCAGAGATCTGCAGTTTCTTCTCCCCTGCCTATCTGGAGTGTATATTCACACTGAGCATGACATCACATGCTCCATGTGAACACAACAGGGGAGCAGCTGGACAGATACTAAGTAACAGCCACCATCCCTCCAAAAGAGCAAGGCAAATGGAGAGTGGCTGATGGAAAGCGGAGAAGAAAGTTGCCAGGTACCCTCCCTCCCAAAGAAGAAGATAATTTGAGGATGGCTGGCTTAGAGCACTTATAATGACACTGTCACCACTGCACCAGCACGGTAAATGTGTGTGTGACAGTGTATGTCTGTGGTTCTATTAGCATGTCTATATATGTATGTGTGTTGACAGTGTTGTGTCTGTCAGCATGTATATGTGTGTATGTCTGATATTTTATATCAGTGTGTGACGAAAGTGTGCATATATCAGTGTGTATAGTTGTGTGCATATAGTAATGTGTATGTCCTAAAGGCAACATGGCTGCAATAAGAGTGATATCATTTGGACAATGTCATGGCAATGTGACAACATATTTAAGAATTATAGAATACATATAAACTGTGTATTTATTTACAACATTGTTTCTCTATCTGTAATTTAATTACTTGGTAAATGTTTTTTTCCTGGATATATCCATGGCAGCACTTCAGATGTGTATAGCTCCTCCCATTCCTAAATCAGACAGGAACACCTAATTAAACAATAAAAGACTCCATTCCCTATACACTTTTTTTTTCCTGTCCACTTCACTTCGACACATGATGTTTTGCATCTCCTCTTTTTTATTTATGGCTTATTTGGGTCAAACGTAACCCTAGCCCACGTTCAACCTCTCTACTCATGAAAGTCTCCGTACACGGGGCTTCACCAATTTTTATTATATCAAAAATGAAAGGTCCTAAAGAATGAGTTCAGGGATCTAGGAAGTAAGCTGAAGAAAAGGACCTCCAAGATAGTTTTTTCAGAAATATTACTGTGCCGCATGCTACAGTAAAAAAAGCAGCAGGAGATTAGAGAGGTCAATGTGTGGCTGAAATCTTGGTGCAGGAAGGAAGGTTTGGGGTTTTTAGAGCACTGGGCCAATTTTGTGCTTGGGTACAACCTTTACAGCCATGATGGATTGCACCTAAATGGAAGAGGGTGTGCTGTGCTGGGGGTTAGGATGGCTAGAAGATTGAAGGAGATTTGAAACTGGTGGAAAGGGGGAGGGGAAGAGACAGAAATCTACAAAATGGAGATATGACAGAAGGGAGATGGGCTTTAGCTCATCATAGGCGGGAGATGGGGAGGGGCAAGATTAGAACAGTGGAGGTATACAACAGTAATAAAAATATGCACAAAGTTACCCATGATAATATTAAATGTATGCTAACCAAATAACAAAATGGGGGAACTAGAGGCAAAAGCATATACTAAACACTATGACATAATAGGCATAACAGAAACATGGGGGAAAGAGACAGTGGTGTATCCTGGTTTTGTGCTGCCCTAGGCAGGAAAAAACTCAGGCGCCCCCCAACCGCCCCTGCGCGCGTGACCCCCACCCATCCCTTCCCCCCCGCGCGCGTGACCCCTCCCACCCCTTCCCCGCCTTCTAAATACACACACTCACTAGCAGAGACTCACTAGCAGAGACACACTCACTCAGACACACACAATAACACACTAACAGACACACACAATAACACACTAACAGACACACACACACACTAGCACACACTCACTAACAGACACACACACTAACAGACACACACAATAACACACTAACAGACACACACACACACTAGCACACACTCACTAACAGACACACACACTAACAGACACACACACACTAACAGACACACACAATAACACACTAACAGACACACACACACTAACAGACACACACACACACACACTCACTAACAGACACACACTCACACTAACAGACACACACACACTCACTAACAGACACACACACACTAACAGACACACACACTAACAGACACACACACTCACTAACAGACACACACACTAACAGACACACACACACTAACAGACACACACAATAACACACTAAGACACACACACTAACAGACACACACACACACTAACAGACACAGACAATAACACACTAACAGACACACACACTAGCACACACTCACTAACAGACAAACACACTAACAGACACACACAATAACACACTAACAGACACACACACACACTAGCACACACTCACTAACAGACAAACACACTAACAGACACACACAATAACACACTAACAGACACACACACACACATTAACACATGTACTTTTTAAACCTCCCCCTCCAGCCTCCTTACCTTTGGGAGTGCTGGGGAGGGAAGGGGTTCTCTATCTCCCTGGTGGTCCAGTGGCTGCTGGGCGGGCGGCGCTGGCTGCTGTGCGGGTGGCTGACGAGGGAGCACTTCCTCTGAGCTGACTGCTCAGCTCCCTCGCACGCCGCAGAGTGAGGCTGGGAGCCGGAAGATGACGTCATATCCCAGCCTCACTCTGTGGCGCGCGAGGGAGCTGAGCAGTCAGCTCACAGGAAGAGCTCCCTCGTCAGCTGCCCGCCCGCCAATGCCGCCCGGCACCCAGCATGTCTGTTAGCCGCGAGGCTAACATGACATTTGCCTTGGGCATTTGGGGGGGGGCTTTTTTTGCCGCCCCCTGAAAAATGCCGCCCAAGGCAAATGCCTTGTTTGCCTCGCAGCTAAAACGCCCCTGGGAAGAGACACATGTTAACTTAAATGGGGAAGGATAGAAAAAACAAGAAGGGTGGTGGGGTTTGTTTGTCTGTCCACCATGAGTTAAAAACAAATCTTAGGCATGTGGAGTGTGATGAAGAAAATGTGGAAGCTTTATGGGTAGATATCTGCTTGGGGGCAACATAAGGGAAATACATTATTGGTTGGGATATGTTATAAACCACATAATGATTAATGAAGAACAGCTTTTGGGCAAATTGGGAAATCTGCACATCTGGGTAACACGTTAAATATGGGAAATTGTAATAATCCGGACATAAATTAAGATGGAGGAACTAGTAGTTCAGTAAGGGGAATCAGGTTTTTGAAGGTGTTCAATGAAACCTTCATGTCATAACTGTTACAATCACCAACTAGAAAAGATGCTTGTCTCGTTATAACAAACAATGTTGATCTTTTGACCAACATTCAAGTAGGGGAGCATTTGGAAAATAGTGATCACAACATGGTGTCTTTTGAAATAAGCTCAAAAAAGCAAAAGCACGTGGGGTATACTAAAGCATATAACTTTTAAAAAAAGCTAATTTTTATAAGATTAGGGCAGCTCTACAACATATTGACTGATATAAACTCCTTAGTGAAACAAACACGGAGGATAAATGGAATATCTTCAAACAAATATTAGAAAGGTAAGCCAAAAAAAGCAAAACCAAACCCCCACAATTTGTCAAGTACATTAATTCTAAAAAAAAAAAAAAGTGTAGGTACACTAAAAACAGAGATGGGAGTGTTAGGAAATTAAGACCAGGAAAAGGCATACATTTTAAATTATTTTCTTCAGTATATATTAATGAGGATCCTATGGCATAATGAGATATGCAAATAATTGCTACAAAAAACTTGCAGATAACAGGCGATTGAATGAGTCAAGGAGAGGTGCTACAGCATTTAAAGAAAATAAATGTAAATAACGCTCTGGGGCCTGATGACATTCACCCACAAATACTTAAGAAACTAAGTGTGGAAATAAGTGAACGTCTGTATTTAATCTTTCAAGATTAATCTTTCAAGACTCAGGAATTGTACCGGAGGAATTGGAAGAAGGCATTTAATTTTAAAAAGGCCAATTTCTACAAGTTAAGGGCAGCTTTACAATATAATGACTGGCATAAACTCTTTAGTGAAAAGAACACAGAGGATAAATGGAACAATCATCCAACAAATATTAGAAAGGCACATTTTTCAGTATGTACCATTGGGTAATAAATATAAAAGAAACAAATTAAAACCAATGTGGCTTAGTAGAGAAGTAAGACAATAGATTAAAAGTAAGAAAAGGGCATTTAAAGCGGACAAATCAGATGCATCTTACAAAAGATATAAGGAAGCCAATAATGAGTGCAAAAAGTCGATTAGATTTGCTAAACTTCAAAATGAAAAAAATGATAGCCAGAGAGCAAAACCAACCAAAGCATTTTTTAAGTACATAAATTCTAAAAAAAATAAAAAAAAATGAAAGTGTAGGTACACTAAAAACTGAAATTAGTTAATGAAGACCTGGAAAAGGCAGGAATTTTAAATAACTATTTCTCCTCTGTATATAGTGATGTCCCGAACGATTCGCCACGGACGGCGAACATATGCGTTGTTCGGTCCGCCCCCTATGTCATCATTGAGTAAACTTTGACCCTGTACCTCACAGTCAGCGGACACATTCCAGCCAATCAGCAGCAGACCCTCCCTCCCAGACCCTCCCACCTCCTGGACAGCATCCATTTTACATTCATTGT